CGATCAATGACGGTTTTCGTGACGGTACATCCACATCCGTCATTAAGGGGCTACCCTTTTTGGGCCCAGACACATCTTGCTGGTCGGTGACGGTTTCCATGACGGATTTACGGAACGTCACCAGGAATCCGTCACGGATTAACAGCTTTCTTGTAGTGCATATTTATTTATGGTGTAGATTCACTCATTTTGCTCGATATGTACTCATTTAGGGTGTAGTCTAGTCACTTGTTGAAATCTCTAGAAAGGCAAATAATGTACTCCTTTCCGATTTATAGGCCTATACTAGCAAGTAGTACTACAATAGTGGGCTCACATAGCAATTTTGTGTCATGTAAGAGCCTGGCTATATGGGTGCTCCAAGGCTTCGCACCACGCCCCACCCCTATACACAAGGACTGACATGCGAGCGTTCCCAACTACCACATTCGGGTTGCGCTTGGCTCTTCGCCTCTTCGAGAAGACGAACAATGATGTTACTACTACTACTTCTACAGTACCGAATCCACTCCTGCATGTCCGTCCACCGCGTGCGGGAGGGATAACTTGTTGTAGTATAAGCAAAAGCATGTCCTCGTCTGTGAGCCACCATGTGCATGGGCGAGGGAGAAGGCGTGTAGTAGTAAAATCAAGCTTCTCCTCGTTGTACGAGTTGACGTGACACATCATAGCACTGGCCCTACATGCTTGCCTCTAAACTTGGCTAAAAGACCCGTAGTGTACAATATATTTGCTACAACCTCTAAAATTTACCCCACCACAAATTAAAACATATTCCTATCTTGACCAGATCAGCATGCAAATTACAATCACCAGGATGATAGGTAGGGCCAGATGATTATTTTAATCAAAAAATGCTTCGAGATGGCCTCATAGCATGGAGCCGACCCCATTGATTTTAAGCTTAGAGGCAAGATACGCGCTATCCTAGACTACTCATGAAACTACCACACGAGTGTCCACTATGTTCAAATACGAATCAAATGATATTTTTTTAACATGCACTAACATTTTGTCAGTTAAATCTTTGGTCGAAATTTAGCACCAATTACAAAGGGGCCCAATAAATATTGTACTCTCACATTTTGTTTTGAGGATAGTCCCACATAGAAAATAAAAATAATAATGCATGTTGGGGCAGCCCACGTTTCTGATAATTTTAGCTGTGGGCTTGTTCACAAATTTTACGAGGCGGTGGTTGTTCATTTAATGGAGGGTCTTGTACCAGACTTGAACGATAAAAACGGCGACCTGACACGTATATATATATATATATTATATATATATATATATATAGGCCGGAGCCTCCGCGCTTCCTTGCTAGGGTTGCTCTATTCTCACTGTCATCCTCTCCAGATCTAAACAAGATAGCGGTGGTA